TTTTCATTGTTTTCAAAATTAAAAGTTTTAAAACAGTGTTTTCTAAATTATTTCATTTTTCTTCACAAACAGAACAAGAAGCTCAAGTGAAGCTGACAGTAAGTTTTTATATTTAAACATTTATTTTTAATTTTTTATCTTATTGATGATGGAGTTCATTGTCCTATTACAACTTTTGTTGTTCTCGACTTTGTAATTTTTGTTGTTGTTGTTTTTGAGATATACATACAAAGTAGAAAATTCAGTAGAAAAATAGAGATATCCCAGATAAATCAGGACTGATATGTGCTTTTTCATTTTTGTTTGTTTTATTTTTGTGATACTGAGGATTCGACCCAGGGCGTTGTGTACTCTAGGCAAGCACTTTACCTGCTGGGCTATGTCCCCAGCTTGAGATTCTTTGAATAACCTGGTTTGACTGTAATTTTCCTGTTGTTTCTCTGAATAAGAGCAGAGACACTGGACTCATTTTGACTCTGCAACAATTGATAATATCATGTTTTACAGACACTAGGAGTCAATCACATGCTTTCTCTTATATGGTTTCCTGGATGCTGTGCCCTGAGTGTCTGCCACAGGGCCTGGTCACATAGCCAGCTGCTCTTGTGTGTTCTTGCTCTTTCTCTGACATAGAGTACTGTGCTGTCGGGCATGTAGTCCATCAGCACTCAGTTAATATGTGTTAAATAAATACCACTAATGTCTTGAATGTTTTCATTGTTTTCAAAATTAAAAGTTTTAAAACAGTGTTTTCTAAATTATTTCATTTATAATTTATTAAATTATACAATTTAATAATTAAATAATATTTAATTAAATATTTTCTCATTAAATAATTTCTCATTAAATAATTTCTAAATTATTTCAACATCTTTAGATGTTGAAGTCTAGATTGAAACTCACCTTTGCCGCTATCGGATGAGCATGATATTCCATCTTCCAGGTGGCATTAGGGAAATCCATAAACCTTGGTATTCCATAGTTTTATATCAATTAGCAAATGGTTGTGATTACAGTGACATGTTTTTCTCTAGTACATTGCATTCACTTTTCTGAAGGGTGAGCCCCTGGTCCTGTTCACTTCTCATGCCTAGTGTGACCCATAGTGGGAGCTCTACACTGCATTCACTTTTCTGAAGGGAGAACCCCTGGTCCTGTTCACTTCTCATGCCTAGTGTGACCCATAGTGGGAGCTTAAAGTCTACATTACTGACGGAATTAAGAAATGGAAGCCTTTTCTGCTGACCAGAATCCTCAGCCTGCCCCTCAAAGGATACTTGCTCCCTTCTTTATCTGGCAGTAGGAGCAAGAGCGCTCCATAAACCTGGGCTCACTTGGCTATTGACTCTAGTAGGGTAAAGGAGTTGCTGCCATGAGACTGAAGTTTCTCCAGTTTAATTTTGATTTTCATGGAACAGCAAAATTGTTTCAAAGGATTTCCCTGGAGCCTTATGATTTAGGGCTGGAATAGACAGAAAAGTGAGGGTTAACATTGGAGGAGCTGTTCCCAGTACAGGATCCTGGGTTAGCTTAGCAAATCCCATGCTGTGATACTAGCCACCTGCTCCAATGTGTCTGGCATATACTTAATGTTTTGTCATTAGTTTAAGTCTGTGAGATGGTGTGCTAATAAGTTGGCATCAATATTGTCTTTGCATGGGTAGGTGTGTCTTGGCAAGGAGCTTAAAGGATCATGCTTCTGGGATGGCATGATGGGCAGCTGTGTGCCTTCTGTAACCCAGAGATGTAATTGGTTCAGAGGAAATACATCTTGGAGGCTAATATTACCTGTCTTTCTTCAATTCCCTGTATAAATATGCTTGGAGATATTACACTGATGATTGGAAGCTGTCAGGATACCATGCGCTGTAATGAGTTAAAGGATATTGGGCAAGCTTTTCTGAATAGTGAGAAGCTATTCTGATGAAGCCATTTAATAGTAACTTTGAAGGCAGTGTACAAACATGTATTTATCTGCAGCCAAGTAATTAAAGTGCCAATCATTTCTATGATTTCAGAGATCTCAGCCTCGTTGAAAAGCCCTCAAGAGCCTCACCACCATTATTCAGGTAGGAAGCATGTGTGCAGAGATGGGTCAGCTGAGCTAAATGTGTGTAATCCTGCACTTGTAAACAGGAACATCCCTCAGCTTCAATTCAGAAAACTGTTCACTCTAACAGTTAGAATAATTAGATATCTCAACCATGGCACTGACTCAGAAAAACAAATTGTTGGGGTAAGAGAATTCACCTTAAAAAATTGTGTGTGTGTGTGTGTGTGTACGCGCGCGCGCGTGTGTTGGTAAATTCACATTTTGAAGGAGATGATGCTCTTGGTGTCTAAAACTTCCTTGCAAGCTCAGTGCTAGCCAAAATCCAAATATCTTAATGTTTGGAACAACTTCCTTTGTACGGTTCCCTTTTAATTACTTTGCTGAGGCTTGAACCCACAGCCTTGCTAGACAAGCGTTCTATCACTGAGCCATTTCCCAGTCTGATCCTAATGTTTTGCATTGGGAAAAGGGCAGATTTGAAAGTCCTCAGTGAACTTGAAAGTTCCCTTAGTGAACATAACCACTGAATAGATGCCACCCCTCAGAGAATAACCCCACAAACATGCCTTGCAAAGTGGCCATTAAACAGACATGTCAAGGGGCCGACTCTGTTATTCAGCAATGCCTCCTAGCACTTCAGAGTGGGGGTGATTGTCCTTGCCCTTTCTGAGGGACAGTCTGCCACAGGGCTATTGGAGAATTAAGAGGCAAATACTTTTGAGATGCAAAGCAACATAGACCAGCTGGACTTGTGCCCTGGTGTGGTTCCTGGATGGTCACTGCTCACAGTGGGTGAGATAACTAACTCAAGGACAAGGCTTTTACAGAGTCTAGCAGTCAGTGTGAAAAAGACCTTGCTGGCTTTAATTACCAGTCTTATCATATGAAGGTCATTTGTTTAGGGTCCCATAATAGACTGTCCTCTCCTGAATCCTCCTCTGTGGTGAATAATGGTTCTGTGAATTTCAGCCTCCTCATTCGAGGCTCCTATGACTGAGTCCTACAGCTCAGCAGTAATCTGTTATTTTGACTCTAATTGCCAGCCGTAGAGAAGTCTCTGGCGAGGAATACTGTAACTCATACAGACTCTGATCTGTTAGGCTATGACTCTTGGCAGGAAAATGCAGATCACTTGCCTCTAATTAAAATTAGTGTTCCATTCTCTCTGGGAAAAAGAAGGCTAACTCTGCAAAACCAACAGTAGGTGTCCCCACAGACCACTGTGCACTGGGTTTGCTTTGGAAAAAGGAAACCAGAGAATATGAAACATAGATTCAAATTCATTTAAAAAAAAGACTCGCATAGTATTTGAGTCAGTGTCTAATTTGCTATATGGGAGAGCAAGGAGATAGCACCTTTTTAGACCATGTTATATAATCGCACATGAAAGTCTCCCCCAGACTAAAATAGCCTTATTGTCTAAGGCATATTTTATATTTAAAACTATTATTTATAATATTTTTGCTAATGGAGAAAATAAAGGATATTTGGAATAAAATATTCTGGAATTTATGAGTATTTTGATATGTGGAGCTTTTTCTAAGTTTAATCGGTGCTGACCTAAAGTAGTCAATCTGTTTTTATTTGTAGCCATTGAAAGGAATAATTTAATGAGGCTTTCTCAGACCATACCGTTTACACCAATCCAGCTGTTCGGTGAGTAATCTTCCCTTTCTGGAGGTTAGGCGAGGGCAGAATGAATGTGCCAAACAAACAAACAAACAAACGAAAACCCCTCCAAAACAACAACAACAAAAAATATGTTGCTTCACTTGACTCACAGATTTCATTTTGGCCATGTGGTGGATGAAGGAAATTCATTTCCCAAAGTAGGAATTCTTGTTAACCACTGTGGGCAGCATTTAGGGTCAGACGCTCAGACCATGGGGATGGGACCTATAGGGGTCAGCAGTTGGGAAGCAAGCGTGATGCTGCACCTGGCATCCAGTGATTCTAGGCTGGACATGCACAAGGAAGAAAAGAACAAGCCAACCTTATATAATGAACACAGAAGAAAGCACTACACGGCCGTATGCTGCAAGCTGACAGGCATGGGCAGAGAAACCCTTTGTTGTTTTGTATTTGTTTGTTTTGTTTCATGTACATGGATTGCTCTTTCTTCAGATGGCAAATGTAGTTTTTTTTTTTATATAAAGCTGGAACAGTCAAGAGAAACAAGTCGGCATTAGCTAAGGGTATCCGAGTTTTTCTGCCTAGCAGGATAAAGTGCAAGCAGTTGACAGCATAACAAAGGTCCCTACGCTGCCCTCCATCTTCATTCGCCCCACACTGTTCCAATGGGGAGAGACCAGGTTGGCTTCTGATTGTTTATGCAGATGCCTACTTCCACTTGGCTCTCTGGCTCATTTTGCAAACCAATAACTCTTCTCTGAAGCCTTGAGGAATTAGGACTCCAAAGAGCTCTCCAGTGGCACCCACATGGGCATCAAGAATAAACTTTTGAGAATATACCACACATTCTCCAGATATGATTATTGATAAGGAATTAGAAACGAGGGTGAGGGGATGGATGGCTTCCTTTCTGGTAACTTAATACAATGTTCACAGAGAATAATCAAACAAACAAACAGCAGCAGTGGCAACAGCGATAACAGCAAATTAGGCCTATTTGAAGTAAAGGTATAAGAACACAGTGAGTTACAACTTTGAGGGGAACTCTGTGTGGCTCATTACTTTGCTTACACAGCTATGACACTGTATCGGTGAAGTCTGAGTCCAGCAATGATCCCTTCTTGCTCTCTAAGCTCAGAGTGGGAGCTGTGTAGCAGTTGAGCAATGTGTTGTGTCTAAAGTCCTTTGAAGTGGGGCCGAGTCTGTATCTGAGATCCTAGTTTGCTGTAACCCCGATAACATATGTGATCTGTATAACAAACCACTGAAACAAATGTTATCATTCCCTTTTACCAATAAGGAAATAGAGGCTTTCCATAACTTGTTAATGGGCACAAAAGAAAACAGTAGAGGCTCAGGAATTGACATTAGTACTGAGAGATTCCTACTGGGTAAAACCATGCCGTTATTGGTGAGCTAAAATTACACTGTATGGAGCAATAGATGTAAGCAAAACCACACCCCAAAAACAAAATCCATCATGTTGCTCATGCATAAAGCAAAGATACACATATAGCTCACAAACAGTACACAGCATAGTTAATATTACATGAAGGGCAGTTATAGAAATGCTTGCTCCTTTATTGGGACTGGTAATGATGAACTCTAGGTTAAATGTCTCTAAAGATAAAGTTCTCTTGCTGGGCATTGGTGGTGCACGCCTTTAATCCCAGCACTCGAGAGGCAGAGGCAGGTGGATCTCTGTGAGTTCAAGGCCAGCCTGGCCTCCAGAGCGAGTGCCAGGATAGGCTCCAAAGCTACTCAGAGAAACCCTGTCTCAAAAAAAAAAAAAAAAAACAAACAAAAAAAAAACAAACAAACAAAAAAAAGATGAAGTTGTCTTGAGCCAGGTGTCATAGCATGTGCCTATTATCTCATCACTCAGGAGGCTACAGCAGGAGGATCAGAAATTTGGAGCTAGTATGGGCTATGTAATGATTGCTAGGTCAGCCTTAATTATAAATCATGTCTCCAATAAAGTCTAACAGTGGTGTCATATTCGTACAGCCTTAATATTACTTTTGTCTAATTAGTTTACAGTAAGTACAACTTAATTCTTCTATGTCATTAGATGCTTCGTTATTCCTCCCTCTCCCCACCTTCATCCGAGGACAAGTCAGGCCGATTTGCGCCCTGCCCATGCTCCCGCTCCTGCTAGCCACATCTTCCTCTGATCACAGGGACAAGTGGACTGACTGACTCAGAGTCAATCTTTAGGGCACCAATCACACCCCAGACCTGCTATCTTAATGAACTGGCTTTCATTTCTTATTGCAGCTGGAGAAGAAGTGACTATCTACAAGCTTGAAGAGAGTTCCCCTCTGACTCTGGATAAGAGCATGTCCTCTTGGTCCCAGCATGGGAGAGCAGCCATGATTCAGGTGCTGTCCCAAGAGGAAATGGATGGGGGCCTCCGTAAAGCCATGCGAGTCATCAGTACCTGGTCTGAGGATGAAGTTATCAAGCCTGGGCAGGTTTTCATTGTGAAGTCCTTTCTCCCGGAGGTTGTACAGACATGGTATAAAATCTTCCAGGAGAGTACCGTGCTTCATCTTTGCCTTAGGGTAAGTCTGAAGCTGAAAGACCCAGAGCCAAGATGGACAGAATAAAGACATAGAGGTCTGGCTACATCCTTATCTAAAATGGTTTTTCTTCAACCAAAGGGAGTTTGATAGTTTTTGACGGTGGTGGAGGAGTTTTATTATTTTTGTTGTTTAGGACATTTATTTTTTGGGGTATAGAGTACTAGAAGCTAAATGATGTTAGATGTTGGGCAGTTAGGAACTGTTTGATCTTTAAGTAAGAATCTTTGATCTTTAAGTAAGAATATGTTAGTGAGCCATTATTTATTTTTTTGAGAATTTCATGAGCTCTGCATTTACGCTTGCATCCCTTTCTTTCTCTCCATGCCCTCCCTCCCCCAAGTTTTCTCCAAAATTCATTACCTCTTTTTTCTACAATTATTATGGATAATTTATATGGATCACACACACACCACATGTTTGATATATACATACATATATATGATATACATATATCATATATATACACACACGCTTTAATCAGCTCTTCTTCTTCTTCTTCTTCTTTTCTTTTTTAAAGGAAATTCAACAGCAAAGAGCTGCCCAAAAACTCATCTATACCTTCAACCAAGTCAAACCACAAACCATTCCCTACACGCCAAGGTGGGTAAGCCTGGCATTGTGGCTCTTCATTATAAGAATTCCATTTAACCTCTTCTCAGGCCATTAGACATGAGAAATATCAGACCCAAGGGAAAGTTCTCCATGACCCTTTTCAGGGTTCTTTCTTCCATAGTTATACACACTGGTATAACAATAGTTAGATGTTCCAGACATACCCGGGCTTAAGTTCCTGAACTTATGTGAGCAGAAAAAAACATTCAGACAGATGGATGACCAACATTTCAGTCACATGAGACAGGAAGATGCTGGGTGTAGTTGCTAACACCCAGCAGTATTTTGGCCCCCAAACATATCTATTTAAAGCTTAGTTGCTTACCTAGCATCCTAAACCAATTAGGAAGTTTGTGATCATGAACCCTCATGATTTTCCCTTGGGTGTCTTGATAAGCTTGTATTCATTTATCAAGGAAAATCATAAGTTGGTGCTGAGGAGTTAGAATGAAGCCCTTTTTCCCATTTTACAAGAAATTTTATAGAGTCCAGAATGAAAAGTTGGATCTGGTACTCATAAAATAAGTTGACAAGTTTTCTCAAAGAAAAGGGAGGCGAATAAGCTTGGGAACAAACCTCCCAGTTTTGGGGTTCCCTCTTTCCATGGAAAGGCCAAAGGGTAGATGATATGTGTGGCAGAGTGCTCTGTATGGTAACTGCTATGCTTGCTGTCTTCTAGGGGACCATTGACTTCTTTTTCCATCACAGGTTTCTGGAAGTTTTCTTGATCTACTGCCATTCAGCCAACCAATGGTTAACCATTGAGAAGTACATGACAGGAGAGTTCCGGAAATACAATAACAACAATGGCGATGAAATTGCCCCCACCAACACCCTGGAAGAGCTGATGTTGGCTTTCTCTCACTGGACATATGAGTATACCCGGGGAGAACTGCTGGTTTTAGATTTGCAAGGTGATTAATTGAAGATGCAGGAGGCAAAGTTTCTAGAGATCACGCAAAGACTGGGGTGGGTTCGTGGAGCTGCTCTACCTGGCTTGGCAGAGAGATACAGGTATTTAGTTCAGAGACATTGCACAATGATGAGCATGAGTACCCACTCTGATGTTTCCTGCTTAGATAGAGGGTGAAAGATAGGCAGGAAGTTAATTATTTAAATCTTAAATGTTTAACTACATGGGGAAGGATTTTTGTACCATTCATTTCAGTGTCATCACTTTGCCTTGTCTTATTATTTCCCAGAAAAATTAAATCACATATCTACATACATGGGAAAGCTTAAATTCTGGATATTTTTCATTATTTTGAGGTTATTGCCTTGACAATTTATGATTTAGTTTGCTTTCTTTGATGTATTCCTTGATATGACAGTTCAGGGAAGTCCTTGGCTCCAAAAGAGGGCTGTGGTACAGGCTTATTTAATGGAAACCTTTCATCAGAGTATCTCCCATTATCACTACCTCCTGCTGGATGTCTAATCCCACACATTCAGCATGTCTCTAGCAGGCTTTCCCTGTAAGGAGGGCATAGAATTTGTGTTATGGCCCAAGTTTAGTCTGGGCTCATGGAACTGGAGCTGTGGATTTAAATAAGGGATCTGGCCAAGAAGCTGTCATAAAAGTTTCCTTATTTAATCCCAGAATCAGCACCTTGAGGCATATATTATTGGGAATTTAGGACCAGAAGGTTTAAATAACTTGCCTCGGGTTGCACAGCTCTTAAAGGGGAAGCAGGAAGCAGACTTAAGTGGTCCCATCCTACATATCGTTTTCTCCTCCCTGCACTCCTAGATTTCTTTAAGAGTATCATTCTGAGAGGAAATGGCCATCTTAAGGTATATTTAAACAACCTGAACTTTCTTCTTTTTCTTTCTGATTTTCTTACCTTTCCAGTCCTTGGCAAAACCAAGCTAGGAGGCTGGGGAATGCTGAAACTGACACTCAGAGGGCATTAGGAGCAATGTCCAGAACTCTGTGAAGTCACTTTGAAATCTGTGTCATCTGCTCAGGGATCCATCTACACTTAAAACATTGTACATATTACTAAGTGCATCTGCCTTTTTGATATTCCTGGTGTTCTCAAGGCTGTATTATATTTCTAAAGCTCAAAAACAATTTTCAGGAAGGAATATAAACTGAATTAGTGTGTCCAAGAGAATTCAGCTTTTTATACCAGCAAACACTTGATGACTCCACGCCCAGAGTGGGGGTGCCAGAGGCATCTGTTTTATAGTTCTGTTTGGGCCGACATTGATTGTTTTCATCTGTGCTCCACTGTTGGTGTTTTGCTTTGAATTTTGGGTGGAGTTGTTTAAAAAAGCAAAAACAGAAACAACAACAACAACAAACAACCAAAGCAAAACTTTAAGGAATTAATGATGACTCTTCAGTGTGCTTTGTATTTCACTTGAATAAGGTTTTGTTTAATGATGTTTATGTTTGGGGATTTTTATGTCTCTTAGTAATCCAAAGTGACATTAAACAGAACAAATGCTGCGATTATAGTCTTGGAGGGGAAAGGGAATTAACTTTATTCTTTTCCTGAGTAATTATGTGAATTGCTGAAATAGGCCACTGCAAGTCAACTAAGTCAAAACATTGACCTTCAAAGAAGACCCGAGCAGACATCACAGAACCACAGAATAGGTGTCATGAAATGCATGAAACTTATCCGAGAGCTAGATAATTGTTGGGCTGAATTCGTGGAAAAACATGAGTCTATAATAGTAATTATAAAGTTATAATGCTGTCACTAGTTAACTCTAAACAAGGCTGGAAAGGAAAATTGTGATTTTTAAGATTTTTTTTGTTCATTTTTATAATGCCCTTTGTTTACTAGCATTTCTAGTGTCTGGAAAGATGATGGTTTCTGCCAGTCTCCACTTCGAACTAGCTGTATGCCCTGAGGAACAACCACCTAAACCCCACCTCTCTCAGTTGGAAATGGGAAAAATAATATTATTTCTTGAAGTCATTTGGTTATTAAATTATTAAAGAGCTCAAGTAATGCAAGTTCTCTACATGTATCAAGGCCTCAGTAAATGTTTCCTGCTGTTGTCAGTAGTAATCCTTGAATGGCCCTTTAAAGTAGAATTTGAGCATCAGGTATGAGGGCACTATCCTTAGCCGAGTGGCTCCAGGGCTACCACAGGGAGACTCCTCTCCATTTCAGACTCCACTTGTTACTGCTTTGAGAGGAGGAAGGATGAAGAAATACTAGGGCAGTTGATTGTTTTTCTCCTTCCCTTTCTCTTCTTCCATTCTTCCAAGAAGGTACAACTTGTTAACTCAGAAAGAGTCATAGCATTCCCGGAAGCTGAACTCTGAGGAGAGGTGTGGTCTATTTCCCATCATTTATAACTCTAATGAAGTTTTCTGGTCTTTTTCCACTTAAAAAGTCTTACAAGGGAGGGCCTGAATAATCATCATTACATTTTAAGTCCAACAGTTAATTCCCAGCAATGGAAATTAAAGACAGTTGTATTTCAAATTAGAGTGATGGTTAGCTTTTTTTTTTCTTTTCTAATTCCATTTTTCAATGGACTTTTGGAGATACAGTATTCAATTTTTTATTCAATAAAAGCGATTTCTAGCAAAAAGTTAGCACCCACATCACCATGAATGATGTCACTACAAAGAGGTAACCTGTTTACATGGATGGAATAGAAGGTCATTGGGGATGCCAAGTTGGATAAAGTTCCATGGACATTCTCTGGGTATGGGTGTTTGCTCATAATGACATCAGTAAAGAGAGATCATCAGGGTGTTTATATATCAAATATGCTTACTTGTTCTCTATTTTCCAAATATCAGGAGAGTCTGAGACCAAATGGACTGGGTTGGGTGTTCTTGTGTGGCTAGAAGAGCCTGGTGTCTTAGCCTGGCTAAGGGATGTGGATGGCATTGAATGGTTGGCCTTTGGGGCCTTCTCTCTCTCTTCACAGGCTGTAAAGCCCTTCTTCCATTAGAACACCTCAAAATGTGTATTCAAGTTAAGTTTATATAGACATGGGCCTAACACTTGAGTCATTGCTGTAAACTCCAGGCTTAAAGTTCAGTCCTGTTTAATTAAAATGGTAAAGACTGAACTATCAATCTGTCTACCCATGGTGCTGGGGGATACACTTCTGCCTGTTATTCTGTTTGTTCACTCCATGGTTGTAGAGAAGCAGGGGCTCCCTCAGATGCCCCTCCTTGTCTAGATGACAAGAAAAGTGCAAAGAGCTCCTTCCTGTGGCTTTGAAAATATGAGGGCTCAGTGTGGTATGCTTTGTACATTTAACTTGTGTTTGTGTTTCAGTCCAACATTTTCTTTTCCTATTCAAAATCAATGTGAAAACTTGCCAGGCTAGGGGCTGTTAAAAGGTACACTCAGAGAGTTTGTAAACTTTGATGAGAAACTTTATTGCCACTAGCCCATAACTGGATTGCACTATCTTCCATTATTAGCCAGACCACAACCTACAGTGACATCATCACCATGACTATCAGCAAGAGGAACTGCAGATATTAACACAGCACCTTGTGACGCAGGCAGATTTCAAAATACTGTTTGCAATTATCGATTGTTAAATATGATCGTGGAAAAAAGATCCAGGGTAGTGCTGGTTGTTGAATGTACTAATAAAGAAGCGCATATTTGTATTGTAATGCAGCAGCTAAAATGCTTTGATATATCCCTTTCAGGATCATAGATTTCCTTTGTTATATATTTAAATCATACATTCTAAAATGTTTTTAGAAAGGGCCTCTTAGCTTCATTCACCAGGTTGACAGAGTCATGAAACAGTCCCCTCCTGCAAATGGTGAACCAATTGGTATTAGTTAACTGATGTGGGGGCTCTTCCCTGGAGAAGTCCAATACTCTCTCTCTCTCCCTCTCTCTCAGCAGTCCCTAGTTTTCTGTAGTTCTTTATCTAGAGGTGGGGTGGGGTCCCTTGAAATTTGCCCCTTCCACTTCAACAACACATGCACTTTTTCCAGCAATTAGCAAAACAGAGTAATATTCTAAAATCCATATAACTTTTGAGTAATCACCCTACAAAGTTAGCATTTTGCAAGCAGAGAACAAAAGCCCCGGTCAGGAAACAATCTCAGAAGTTGTTGGGTGTGCCTAGGTGGCTCATCACTGTCTAACTGGCATCCCTGAACTGTTGTCACTGTGGGGGAACTAGCCACCTCACTGCCTGCACGTCATCACAGAGGTTGGGTGTCAAACCCAGTTCTGATTAAGTTCAACCTTAAACTGCACCTCTGTTGTCTTTGGAGGCTTTGCTCTTTTCTTTCAAAACTAAATTTTATTGAAGATACATCCCCCAAAATGAACAGAGCGTAAGCATCCACCTCAAAGAGTTTCCTCAACTGAACACACAGGTGGAGCCAGCTCTCAGATCAAGAATTTGGTGCCTTTTTATTCTACTGTTTATAAGTGCTGTATATAGATAGAGCATTTGATGTGTCTCTTTGATGCACAGAGGCTGTATCTGCAAAACCTCCCAGGGCCTTGCCCTTGCTGAGCACTGATGGAGGCCATCTAAGGAGACCATGAACTAGTGGGAGGAACACAAGCATTGCCCCAGCTTTAATCCTGTTATGGCCACTTAAGGGATACACCATCTTTGGCAAGTTCCTCAATCCCTTTGAACATCAATGTACTCATTGATGTAAATGAGGATAAGATGTAAATTGAGGATATGAGGATAATATTTCCCTTTCATGAGAATTAGAGAAAATAAAATTGGATGTCTTAATGCATACAACTGGTAAATGAATGGCAGATACAGAGATCTATTGACAGATAATACTATCATCAAGTCTTATAACACCATTAAAACACTAATTTGTGGCCAGATGTTCATTAATTCAGAGGGGGCTGTTGTTGGAGATACTGGATTCAATAATTTTCCCAACTTTCCTAAACAATTTCCATAGCACATTTAATTATGCTGTTTTTTTTTTAAGCTTACCTACTATGGAGCGAATGACATAGGGTCTCACACTGTAGATCAGGCTGGCCTAGAATTTACTATATATCTCAGACTGGCCTTGAACTAGTGGCAATTCTCCCACCTTAGTTGGGGTTACGGGAGTGAGTCACCACATCTGGCTTGAATGTAACCTTCAAAATAAGGAAGCAGAATTTGGTTATTATTTTTCTGCATTTCTTAGAAAACAAATCCCCATTTGCTTAATGAATTTTGTTTCTTCTTTTGAGGTGTTGGAGAAAATTTGACAGACCCATCTGTTATAAAACCTGAAGACAAACAGTGAGTTGACTTACCTGCTATATAACTTAGAAGATTGCATTCCGTTTGTTCATGTTTTTAACCTTACTTTTAATTGCTGCAGAAAATATAAGAATTGTATATATTAATGTGTATCATGTAGTGCTTTGTTATTTGCATAGATTATATAAAGTTTAATGGCTTTTTATAACTTAAGAATTGATTTATTATTATATTATATATATATGTTTATGCCCACATGTATTTTTATGCTTCATGTGAGTGCCTGGTTCCCAAAGAGGCCAGGGGAGGGCATCAGATCCCCTGGAGCTGGAGTTATAGATGGTTGTGAGTTGCCATGTGAGTGCTAAGAATTAAACCTTGAGTCCTCTGGAAAAGCACCCAGTGCTGTTAACCATCGACCCCCAGCACTTTTTCAAAATCAAAATAAGACAGTGGAAATGGCCAGGACATTGTGAGCTGAGGACTGTTTTACTTTCTTGAAGGAATTTTAAACATATATGTGTAGTAGATCCCAGAGAAGTTTTCCAACAGTTATTGCACATAGATATGAAACAATATTTTTAGACTTAAATGAAGATTCTTATACTTAAAACAAGATTTTCTAAGCCACTTCAAATTAGGAAATGAGTAAAAAAGTGAGAATGAAATAAGTTTAATTCTAGAGCTGGGTTAGTAAGCATGAGCAGACATTATAAGGGACAGTGCAATTTCCAGCTTCCATTGCATATTTGACTCTTTCGTTTTTCTATTGGTCTAAATGTAAGGGGGAAAATGTGTAAGTTTAGCTTGGAGTAAAAAATGATGCTGTAGCAGAAGCCAGTTTCCAGCTTCCGTTGCATATTTGACTCTTTCGTTTTTTATTGGTCTAAATGTAAGGGGGAAATGTGTAAGTTTAGCTTGGAGTAAAAAATGATGCTGTAGCAGAAGCCACTTCCTTTGTTGTCTTTACTGTGGAATGGTGGTTTGAGCCCAGGCAGTCTCTTCACAGGCAAAGCAGGTAAGAGCAGAGAACACAAAGTGCTGTTCTTTCTATAACAGCCATGTGATGAGGACTCAAAGCCACAGTGCTTAAATATGAGGTATCATTGGAGTGTGTAACTTAATTTGGAACCAAGTAATATAGAGGGATGAATCATTCACCCATCTTTTGAATTCCAAGGACAACTTGTGATTTTTTGGCACTAAGGCTCTTAGGCGTTCTGTTAAGGTGGAATACAAAGAGGGGGTGGTGGTGATTGATTGGTGACTGATCAATATTGAGGACAACAGTGGTTGTTGTGATCAGTCTGAAGAGCAACAATGCTTGTGTGTTCTCTGCCATCATGGTCACCAGGAGAACTTGTTGAAATAGATTGCTGTGTTTCGCCTCCAGAGTTTCTGATCTAGTTGTTTTGAGGTGTGGCCAAATGAGCCTCATTTCTAAGAATTACCAGAGAGGTTGATGCCACAGGCCTGCAGGTACTTTGAGAACCATGCGTCGAATGACATTTTTAATTCTTAAAGAATTTCTTTTTTAATTATGACGACATCTCATTGTTGTGTAGCTCGTGGTGGCCTTGAGCTCTGGTGAGCCCCTATTTCCTTAGTGCTGAGATTATATTACCTATGCTGGGCTGACAATTTTATTTTTACTTTTTTAGTCAAACTGAGAGCTTATGCTTGGTTGCCAGGTCATAGAAAACATGTAGGACTCAGTAAGTTGAAATTCCTGACACAACAAAATGTAAAAGTTTTGCTTGTTCTTTTCCTGGTTCTCATCAAATAATCACTATTTTACTACCCCATTCTTTCACTGAGTGATTTTTACTGAATGTGAATATGGTTCATCTACAAGGTACCCTAAGAAGATCCTCATCTACTAAAAGCTTATTAGCTATTATAGGCTCGGGTAGGCTGAGGAAGAGACAGATGGCCCATAGGATTCCCATGCAGCATCCAATTCCTATGGTTTTTATTTGATTATAGAGTCCATGTTGGACTTGAGAGTATAATGGACTATTTTATTTTTTATTTTAGCAGAGCGGAAGTGTTTTCTGCTAAGCATATTATTTCTTCAGCAGTCTTGTGTGCTCAAGGGCTTGTATTAGGAAGTTTTTTTTTATATGAGATCTTTCTTTACATTTTTCAGTTTTTTGCATACATAATGAACTCAGTTTATGTGTACTCTGTCTATTGTTCATTAAATTTTGACCTTGGCATATAACACTTAATATGACCTGAATACTCCATCTTTTTAAAAAGCTAAGATTATATTATCCTACTTGACAGTTAGGTATTTAATTGCATTCTATAGAAAGTGAGCTTCAATGTCTATTAAAGTCACTTGCAGAATTAGAAAAAAACATGCTTGGCGTTCTATTGCATCGACTGAATAGGGCCCTGGCCTCTGTAATTTTTTTCTGTTTTCCCTCATACATTACAATCTGACTGCAGTTTCTCTTCCCTCCTCCACTCTTTCCAGGCCTCCTGACACCTTCCCTCTCCCCAGATCTACTCCTCCCCCATTTCTCTTAAAAAGGGATATCAACTGAACATAGCATAATGAGTTAAAATAAAACTAGGCACAAACCCTCATATTAAGTCTGGATAAGACAACCCATTAGAAAAGGGTCATAAGAGCAGGAAAAAGAATCAGAGACACCCCCACTCCCACTGTTAGGAGTCCACAAGAACACCCATCTACACAACCATAAAACATATGCATAAGGCTTAGCTCAGACCCATATAGGGTCTGTGATTGTTGCTTCAGTCTCTGTGATCCCCTGGGAGCCCTGCTTAGTTGATTCTGTGGGCCATGTTCTCAGGGTATCCTGCATCCTCCACCTCCTTATGTGGGGTTCCCTTGGCTCTGCCCAGTATTTGGCTATGGATGTCTATCTGCTTCCAGCAGTTGCTGGTTGACGCCTCTCAGGTGACAATTGGACTAGCCACCAATCTATGAGTATAGCAGAATATCATTAGTAATCATTTCATTGAAATATTTCCCAGTATTTTTGGTTACATTGTGAGTCTCTAGGCTATCTAGCCTCTGGTTCCTGGGGTTCTAGGCAGTGTCGGGTGTGGACTCCCTTTTGGGATGTGGACCTCAAGTTGGACCAGTCATGGGTTAGCCAGTCACACAAGTTCTGTGCCACCATTACCCTAGCATATCTTGAGACAGGACAGACTGTATGTAGGTGGAAGGTTTTATGGCTGGGTTAGGGGTCCCAGTCCTGCTTCTGGAAAGCTTGCCTGATTATAGAATATGGCCAGTTCAGGCTCCATATCCCCCATTACTGGAAGTCTTCCCTAGGGTCAATCTTGAAAATTTCAGGGAGTTTCTACTGCACTAGGTTTTCACATCGTCTCCCAAATGCCCCCCCTCCAATTCCAGTCGTCTCTTCCTGCATTATCTCCTGTATTTTTTAAGTTCCTCAGTGCAGTCCTCTGAAATTATCACATCAACTTTGTTTTCCATAACTTGAGAATAGTGTCTCCTGAAATGGGTGGAATGGTTTCACTGTGGAAACAACCAACTCTGGGTATTTAGTTTTCACAGAGACCTTTAGTTTTATTTTCTCTCAACCAATTAGTTCCATTAGAATTGTATCTAACTAATCAGTGAACCTTGTATGTGTAAAATCTATTAAACAAAGTGTGAACCCTGGGTCAATATCACCATCAGGGACAAGGCTGGAAATGCATGGTCTCTGGATTTCTCTATACCTAAGGAACCAGAATCTGAACTTTCATAAAATCTTCTGGTGAACTGGTATAAATTCCAGTCTGAGATACACAGATTCTAGCGACTGAGTTTGCCCATGCAACAACTCTGTGTGTTAGTTTACAAATGGAAAATTGAGGCTCGCTCAAGGTTCCAACATCCCTGCAAGGTGAAAGAGTCAATGGAAGGGAACAGTTGTTATGAGGGCTTTGTAGAATGAGTCCGGTATCCTTTCTCATGCCTCCTCCCACTGTCTCGAGCTCTCCCTGATGTACCTCATCTATTGGCAGTTTGGGACCGTATCGTTTTAGCCTACTGCCTGATGGTTGTGAGCATTTGACAAGAAAGAAATGGTGATGAGATGTTCTTTAGTGACTATGTATAGATGGCACTAATTAGCGTTTCCTTGTATGTAGACCCAAGCTACCACCTGCTTTTCCTGTTTTGTGAAAAAAAAATCTGGAAAACAGCTAGTTGTGTTTTCTTGGAAAACTTAGTTATCCGAAACTGCAAAGCTTGGAGCATGCTGAGGGGTGTACATGCAAATGGAATGTCCCTGCAACTCCTTCACTCTCTCTGCTCCGGGAGCCCCCATGACCCTGACATACACATCTTATAGTGATTTTGATTATTTCATTTCATTTTCATGAAGCTCTCAGAGACAAATAGCTTCTAGATATTACTTGAAAATATATATCTGAGTTGGGTATCTTCATACCTTCCTGGAAGGACAGAAATAGCTGGTATGGTATGCAAACAAGTGAAATTTTCCAGGGAGGTCACAGAGAGACTCCAAAGGGAGTCTTCTATGCTAAAGACTGAACAAATACCCTCATCTCTCACTTATCAGATCAGAGAGTTCTGGTCTAAATACTGAGTGATCCTGCTATTTTTTTTTTTTTTTTTTTTTTTTTTTTTTTTTTTTCCCACCTTTGGTTTCACCTGACTGAAGCAGTGTCTCACCAGCTGGAATGAAATTGAGACAGAGTTAACAAGAGGCGGCTTATGCTACTGGGTAAATACCACCAGAGCTGTGTTTTGTGAGAGCCATTGAGTGACCAGGAAAGTTAATCCCCAGTGTCTTTCCACTCTGTCTTCCCAAGAGGTTTTCTCCACCTCCCCGGCACAGAGCGGGAGGCAATCTGAGATCAAATTGACATCAGCCCTCATTCCGAGCTTGGCACATCTTCAGAGACCCACTATTCTTCTGCCAAAAGGAAGTGGAAATTGAGATAAATGTTTCAATCCTCGGATGGAAAAAAAGTCCATTTTTACACCATGTCCCTTTTGAGAAACCGCATTCCTCAGAAACAAAGTTTATTGTTTCCCTTTGTGATAGTCGGCTGGATTTTTTTTCGCCTCTTTCTTAAGACGTGGTATTTAAGAGCGGTAATTGAGTTCAGATTTTAAAATGCGCTGTTTCCACTATGCATGTCATTAAAATAAAATATTAGCTTTCATACACTTTCTTTGGAGGCGCTCCTGGTGTGTTCTGTCCTGTGTTGGGTGGAGGGTCAAAATCTACACAATAATGCTTGTGTGAACAGTGAGCCTAGACTCTGCAGAGGATCTTTATATTAGAATGTTCAAAACGTGTCTCAGAGATACTGAGACTACTTGTGATGAATTCTGTTATGTACCCTGGGTATCTGCGGTCTATTTCTAAAAGCCTTTTGGCTAATAGTTGTCTTGACTTCCCATGAAGAACCCAGCTAAACCAGTTTGCAGAGTCAAAAGTGGCTTTGAAAAAAGCCAGGAATACTGGCTCTGGTGGCTAGTGAGGCTTTTGGTTTGGGGAGAGTCATTTTCAAAAAAGTATTTGGGTATGCGCAGTGCACATCTTTTTAGAAGGTGCGTTCTGTAGCAAAGTTACTCTATCCTTTACCTTTGGGGTGTTTCAGTAGAGCATATGGTAATGAATGTCATTCTCTCACCCCATATGCATTAAAAAAGGTTTCACTATATTTTGTTTTAATGTAGCACATCGAAAATTCACTCTTCTATCAGATTAGTGTTGGAATGAGTTTCACAGTAGGTCTTGGGTTGGGTACAAAGATTTAAGTGCATTTGAATTTTAAATTTGCAAACCTAACATTGTTACTTCCCCAAAGTGCTCTGTTCTTTGTTGGCTCCTTTAAGTGGCTAGGTTACTATGGGATACTGTTCGCAATCTCAGAGAATCCTAGTTGGACCCCTTTTCCTCGGCTGTGATCTAATTGATATTCTGATATTTCCTCTAGATCAAGAGGGATGGTGTTTGGACCAGCCAATTTAGGGGAAGATGCAATTAGAAACTTCATTGCAAAACATCGCTGCAACTCCTGCTGTGGGAAGCTCAGGCTGCCGGGTAAGCGTCGGAGACTCTGTTTCTTCTGAGAAACTTTCATAGAATAACAGTTATTATAACTCAGGATCGAGCGAAAAATCTTAACCACATTTTTATCTCATTCGCAGTCATTCACAAGCTTGACTTTCTGACTGAAACATTTCAAGTCTCAGGAGGGATTTAAAGGACAGGGATTTGCTTGAGGTTCTGCCAAAATGTGATAAAACAACCCTGGGCCCAATGCTTGTCACAGTGGCTCCACAAAAAAAGTTCCACCTACTTAAAGGGAGTGAAATGGGATGGAAGGCCCCATTCCTCTCTTCCAACCCAGGTCCTGTTTGCTTGCAGACTGCATGCCTGTAGCATTTTTATCCTGTTCCAGTTTGCTCATTGGGCACCAGAGAGGGTGTGACCCAAAGGGAAGGAAAGACTGTCAGTTAAAGCATTACTTTATCCTGTAACAATTGACCCTTTATTAGCTCGTTTGTTTGTTTGTTTGTTTTACAGCAGCAGCCTTAGAATCCAGGACCTTGTCATACTAGGCTAGCACTCTGATGAAGTGTGTGTGTGTGTGTGTGTGTGTGTGTGTGTGTGTGTGTGTGTGTGTGTGTGTGTGTGTGTACTCAAGCACCACTGGGCTTGCAAAGAGGTCAGAAGACAACTTGTGGGGATGTGACTTCCTCCACTGGGCTTGCAAAGAGGTCAGAAGACAACTTGTGGGGATGTGACTTCCTCCATCTACCACTGAGCTACACTTCCAGCCCTCATACACTGAATTTTGATGAAGTGTGTGTGTGTGTGTGTGTGTGTGTGTGTGTGTGTGTGTACTCAAGCACCACTGGGCTTGCAAAGAGGTCAGAAGACAACTTGTGGGGATGTGACTTCCTCCTTCTAATGTGTCAATTCTGAGGATCAAATTGCAGTCACCAGGCTTGTGGGGAGCCACCTTTTACTAGCTGAGACATCTCACTAGTCCCAGATCCTGCTACTGTAAACAATAGTATTGCCTCTTTAAGCAACATAAAAAACAAAACAAAACAAAAAATAACATTGACTGGGTATTGATGGCATATGCCTTTAATCCCAGCACTCAAGAAGTAGAGACAGGTAGATCTCTGTGAGTTCCAGGCCAGCCTGGTCTTCAAAGTGAGTTCTAGGTCATCCAAGGCTACACAGAGGGATCCTGTCTCAAAAAAACAAAAAAGAACAAAACAAAAACAAACAATATCCTCCCACAGTTTCGTGCTAGAATCTGCTCAGGAACCATCATCCTTAGGCATTGTACTCTGCCCAGTCTGACTCACTGTAGCCTGGACAGAGCAGCTTCTATTCTTCAAGACCTGGGTCTATATCTGATCAGCCAGGGGCCAGGGAGACTCATTGCTTCCAATCTTTGTGCCCAGTTAGTTGCTGAGTATGGTTAAGGGTTCATGTAGGCATGCCATGGTAGGCTCTAGGCTGGAATTGTCTATTTTCTTCCTCCACCATGTGGGTTCTGGGGATTGAACTCTGGTCATGAGGCTTGGCAGCAAGCACCTTTATCTGATGAGTCATCCCACCACCCAGTTTTTGTTTTTGTTTTTTAGTGAAATGTAAGTTTGTTCCTTTTAACATTCTCTCATCCCTACTCACTCAAATTGTTGAATAATTTACAAACTGCAAGAATTTCTCGAGTGCTCACTCAGATTTCTCTGTCTGTAGTTTTAAAACTCTAGTTTTAAAAATTAATATTGAAGTGGAAATAAAGAAATACTATCATTTCATATCATTGGCAATTGAATAAAAATGTTTGGTTTGGGGAATAGAATTAGAAGTACATTTAAGTCTTCATGTTTCATTTATTTTTAAGGCAGAGGCACATTAAGGCAATGCATAAGAATTTTGAATCTAGATCCAGGCAGGCAGGTGGGCAGGGCTAATATACCCAAGTTCTTCTTTTTACTGGCTATAAGGCTTTGGCCTTCAGTATCTTCATCTGCAAGCAAGAGATAATTGTACTTGTCTTACAAAGTTGGTGTGAAGATTTATTTTATGTATATGGTCAGTAAACGTTGGTTATATTATTAAATATATATTATATATGCTTATATATATGTTAATGTTTTCGTCTAGAAAAATCACCATTTAACATAAAAAAGTAAAACAAAAGCTATCAGGTTTTCCTCTTGGCACCAAAGGTGGAGCCCAGGGCTTCACACACACTATCTGCACAGTCAACCCCTGAGTGACAATCTTGGTTCCCTACACCCATCACCCATCAGCTCCCAGTCCTTGAGCCCAGTTAGGCTAACTAATTAATAGAACGAAGAGCAAGGCTATCCTCTTATAACTGCCCTTGATAATGAGCTCACAGTGGATGGGCAAAGAAGTTGATGTACAGCAGGTGTCTTCTGCACTGGTCACTAGGAAGCCAGGAAGGGGTTGGGGTTGGTCAGAGCTCTAAATGAGGGAGGCAGGAAGTGATGAATATCCGAATAACCCCACATTTGCAGGCTGGAATCCACTCGTGAATCACAGCACGAAAGATGTATTCAACATTCAATGCTCCCTTCCTTATAGTTTCCTCCCAAAGATGATCCTTTAGAATTTTCTTTCAATTTCCTTTTTAAATGGAAGGGGAAGGGCTTAAGAAACATCTCATGTGACCTTTGATTGATGAAGCTTTTATTTTTTATTTTTTCCCGAGACAGGGTTCCTCTGTAGCTTTGAGCCTGTCCTGGTACTCACTCTGTAGACTAGGTCGGCCTCGAACTCACAGAGACCCTCCTGCCTCTGCCATACGAGTGCTGGGATTGAAGGTGTGTGCCACCACTGTCCAGCTTGATGAAGCTTTTAGAGGTCGTCAAAGAGATGTGGGCAGCTTTCTTTAGAAAGCTGAGCCTTGGAATCTAAAGTCAGCAATTTGACTCATCCCTCTGGTCCTTCCTAAGGTTCCCATGTGTTGTAATTGAAAAAAAAAAAAAAAAAAAAGCGGCTCAGGGGAGAAAGATAGAGTTCAAGCAGAGGGCTTTTTTTTTATTAGGGGAAAAGAATCATAAAAAGAGGAAAGGGGAGGGGGACAGGAGTAGTGGGAGAGAAGAAAGAGAGGCAGAGAGAGAAAACAGAGAGAAGGAGAGAAAGAGAGAGAAGGATGGGAGGTGGGCAGGGCCCCTTTGAAAGGGAATGTAGTGAATAGTCACTAGTGGTGCTCTTAGTGGCTCCAGCTGAGCCTCCCAAGGGCAGACCAGTACAAATGCCTAAATACTAACACTGTGTCTTTTTTGGGCCTCATTTAATTTTGGTCAGACACATTTTGCTCCACTAGGTGGTGGCCAGAGCCTTCCCTGAATACTTTGACTAAGCCTGAAGTTCAGTCCATCTGCATGATTTAATGTATCCTAAGACATCTACTAAGACTGTCTTGTTTTCTTTGTAGATTTAAAAAGAAATGATTATTCCCTTGCGAGGGCACATTGCAACTCAGGACTTGAGAAAAACGTTGAACCAGCTGAGGGGCTTCCAGCAAGAGACAGGAATAGAAGTTCCCTGGAAGATCACACACGCCTATAGAAAGGGTGATGAGAAAGAGGCTAAAGGTCCCTTAGCTCCTTTTGCCTTGAACTCTAGGTGATGTACACTGATTGACATGACCCTGGCTGTGTCAGAATCTCTGTCAGGATGGCTTTACAATGTGGAACTCTCTGGAGGTGTCCCCTGAGCCTCATCTTTCGTTGCCCAGAGGACACAGTGTCTAATGGAGGGTTCCTCCTGGGTATTGACCTCTGAGCAGAATGTTGCCATACATTCTCATCTCCTGGTTCTGCATGAAGACACCAGATGAGCCCACCAGGAATACTTTCATTTATACCTCATTGCTTCAGCTGACCGCTTGGAACTGTTGGAGTAGAATGCTGTGCACTGAAGAACTGGGGGACGAATTAATTTATTTTTTCACTATGTTCGCAGACTCTGTCCCTACTGCTAGTCATCTCATCATTTCATCCAAGGGTTGTTCATATACCTATGCATACATTAAGAATATATGTGATTTCCTCTTCCGTCTACAGCAGCACAAGGTTTGAATAGCACCAATAGGGAAGACACTGGGATGAATGTCTGTTAACCCAGGCTGGAGCAGAAATAGCCATTAAAAAGTCCAAGTAGACTGGTAGACTCTAGATGCTTTGAATTATGTCATCAAATCACATGATGCTTGGGCTCTTTCAGTTCCTTGGAACAAAGGAAAAGGACAAATCTAAATTAATTTTCCTTACATCCCTTTACTTTTTTAAAGGCAAAAATGAGGATATGTAATCCTGCAAACTATTAATAAAGGTTTCACTTTTTAAGCTCAGGACACTAAGGTAGAGACCATTGCCACTCTGTTCGTTCTCTCCCTCTTGGTACTGTATCCCATTATATCTACATTCTCCTTTGCCAGTCCTGTGGGGAAAGATGCATCTCAGGTTGAAACGTCTTGCATGTATTTTTTTCTTCCTTTGCAGCATTCTGATGGCTTGAACACTTAATCAGTTTCTGGAGCTTGAAGGAAGGTGTCCCTGGAAGCAACCTTACATTGGGGGCAGCTCCCTGTTGCATGCTGGGTATGGTTGCCCTGCCTCGGAACAAGCATGATGTTTTACACTAGCAACAGAAAAGCCTGGGACTGAGAGATGGTTCCCCTCCACCTACCGAACCCCCCTCTTAGCATTCCCATTGGCCAGCAGTAAACTTCCTAGGCCTAAATATTTTCAGCTTATCTTTGTCTTTAGTACTTACATTCGTTGACTGACTTCTAAGTCTACTTTAGAAATCTGGACTCCTGCTTCCTTAGGCTGCACTTCAGAGGAAGTGTTGCATGGTGGGGTGGAAAGAAATTGTATTTGGTTCATGTGATTTTGAGGATGCATCTGTATTCTGTTTTGTTTCATTGGTAGGAGGTGGGAAACTTGGACAATTTCTTATCTCTGTCTTCCGTCTCTCCCTTCCTTCTTCCCTCTTCCTCCTCCTTCCTCTGTGTAGCATAGACTTCCTTCAAACTCCCAATCCTCTTGTCTCAGCCCCTTAAGTATGCGCTTGCATGAGACAGTGATTGGCAGTGAGGATAAAATATTAATAATGTTGGGGGGTGGTGCTTAGCAGTATTGTCCAGTCTCTAAATCATTAAGAGATCTGTTGGTCTCACTTCAGTGCTGTGCTCAACTCTAGAAAGGGCAGAGTTTACCTATGCAAGGGCCAAACCAAATGCACCAATTTATTGACCAAAATACCTGTAAACTGGAGTGAAACTTGAAAGCAAATACAAACACTTGATTGCAAACTTTTGTGGTGTGCTTTTTTGTTTTTAAACAAACACTAAGAAAAACAACTACAGAATATTATTTGAAAAAAAAAGAACTGCTGGGCAAAGATCACTGGGATTGCTTGCATATGATGTGACAGTGTTGACTGAGTGACTTGTGATCACAAGAGAATGCAGTGCTTGGTTGTTTAGCCAATGGTCTTCAGTGGTTATTTGTGAAGCATCCTTTCTCAGCAGCAGCACTGGTGAGATTGTGGGGGTGAGATCCAAATAATTGCTCTCCAACAGCTTCATGTCTCTTTTCTTTCTTTCTTTCCCTTCCTTCCTTCCTTCCTTCCTTCCTTCCTTCCTTCCTTCCTTCCTTCCTTCCTTCCTTTCCTTCTCTCCCTCCTTCCTTCCTTCCTTCCTTCCTCCCCCTCTCTCTTCCTTCCACTCTTCTCCTCCTCTCCTCCTCCTCCTCTTCCTCCTCTTCTTGTTCTAAGTTTGGATCTCTACTAAGTCCTGAGATATTTGACTTCCAGGCAGATGTCAGATTTGGAGACTGGTCCTGTACCCTCCCTGCTAGAACAGTGGGCTCCGGTTGTGATTGAAGAGTTAGGGTAAATGAGAAGACATGGAAATTCTAGCACCTCTGAGTGAAGATGAACCACACAATCCTTTCCTATGTGCAGAGCTTTGGTTCTGGGTGGGATCTGGATGTGAGGGTCTGAGAAGAGATCAGGAATTTCCTGTGCAGGTAATCTAGTGTATGGAGTCTCCTGACAAATGGACTTTCCATCTCTGGATTCTGAGTGGTGCCCATCCCCTTGCTGTCTTAAGGCGGCACGCATCTCAGAGGAGTGAGATTTAATATAATTTGGGGCATTCCTCACTCTGACTTTGTAAAACAAATGCCAAGAGTTCCCAATAACCATCCAGTCAGTACTTAATGAATGTTTTGTTGTTGCTGACTGTTGTTTTAGATGAGAGCCAAAACTCTGGGTTTGGAAGTAATGACACATGCCCTTCTCAGGTCCTCTTATGTTTTTCATCAGATCAAGTATAAGACTTGGCTCACAACATGAGGCCAACAATATTTTTTAAAAAGAAATAGCACAATCTTCAAATGATAGTGAATTTCATTCACTAGGTAGTAAATCATATCTACATTTTTAACCTAGAAGGAAATGACTACCAACTCTTTAAGACCCAGTATGATTCTTTTGATGTCTGTCTGTTTTAATTTCCTAGGAAATAGCTTTTAACAACCTATACCTTGTCTATTGAATTCTTAACCAGTTCTTACCCTTATCACCATTGGTGATAATGCCTGAGTGCAGTCCTTTCCTGGTGACTATTAAAATGAGATGATAACTTCCCAGAAACTGCCTAGAAATAATCATCACTTTATTACCCTTTGAAAAGCAGATTGATAGAAAAGTCATTTGAAAGATGGTTCATTACCATGCCCTAGTAAGATTTCTTTACTTGCATCTCACCAAAGCACGAGAAAGGGAGGATTATTCTCTGAGGTCGGAATTTGAAGGCTGTGTGTTTGCCTCTTTGAAGTCTTGGTATTTAATTTTCTGTAGTCATTTCTTGGGCAATTTTCTAAGAAACTAGTTGAAGCTAATTTATCATAAGTTAAAGTCAAATGACAGAAAAGATTTTCCCCCCTTAACAGCATTTTATTCCACAGAGGTTAGCTTCTGAAGGAAATTGAGACTTAAATAGCATTTCAAATCTCAAGCCACATGGGTTGGGACAGAAAATAGCAAGGATTCAGGAAGAGACACTGTGCAGTTAACACAATTGTTATTATTATTTTTTTGCCTTTTCTTTGTAGAGTGCTATGTACAGATAAAATATACTATCCTAAAAATAATTAGGTATGTTGCTTAATTTTTCATAGAAAGAATGCCATCCCCATGGGATCATACACCTTGGTCTCTCTCATTTCAGACTTTTAATATAAGTTTATATAATTTGTTTAACCTTTCTGTTAACCCCTAACTCTGAAATGGCGATGAAGATACTTAACTTCTAAATGAAGGTGAATGACACTGAGACAGCATTTAGAAGGTCCTTAGAGAGTCCCACTTAAAAGACTGCTTGGGAGCCTGGAATCTAGTTCAATAAATAGTGAGAGATTTTCATTTTGGCATGATGTGATCGTTATTGAGTATTTACAGATGATGCTCAGTGGACCTGTT